AACAATCACAAGAAATATCAATGTTGTTTCCATAAAAAATTACCTCGAGTTCATCAATCGATATGCTACCTTCCGCAGGAACAGCCAAGAAAAGCTGTACCTCTGGTGATCCTTCTGCAGCATATTTCTTCCCTTCATCAGTAAGCACACATGTTTTTCTTATAATGTCCTGCAGAAAACAATGAACCAGTAAAATCACACTTCAATGATTTATATATCAATCAAACCCCCTAAAAAAGAGATGGTGACTGTTTCATCGCCATTCATGATCTCTCATAAGCTAAATCACTACTAAACCCTTCAATCTAAACCTCACACAAAAAGCTAAATCTTTATGTAACAAACATATTTTTCCCGGACACTCCTTTTCCCCAGACCAAATTCAACTTGAATAGAACGTGGCAAGTGGTGTTGGTACCTGAGTCTCGATGTAACGAAAAGCTTGTAAGCTCTTGACGACATTGACGAGTTCGTCGTGGTTAAGGTTATGTTCGGCGGCGAATTGACCAGAATCTGCGATATCTTCGTTGTTTTGAAGAAACCCTAGAATCGCTTCCTCCGCCATTCTCCCTCTTCCGGTGCTCGTATCTCCCCCAGGTCCGCCGTAAATTTCAAAAAAGTCCGACTCTGAGTTTCAACTTTTGCCCTACACTCTCCACTCGGAGAAAAAAACGGAAAAAGTGAAGAATATTTATATAGACGTGGTGGAAGAACCTGTGGTGTGAATCAGAGAGTTACGGTTAAGGGGTGAACCAGAAGTGAGTGTTTAATTGGTAACGTTTCAAACTATTGGGTCTTTTTAATCTATGACAACAAATTGGGGTCCTCACGTTGCAAATACATTTTAAACGACGTCGCTTGTTATGAGATTCTCAGTTTTCGGCTATTTGCATGGGAGTGCTACGTGGCATGTGGAGAAGTTGCCAGTGTAACGAGTTCTTCTCTTCACCTCAACGTCACTAAAAACCGAATGCGAAAAAACAAGAAAAGCAAAATAAAATAAATAAGCTAAGGCAAAAATAAACAAAGATCACAAGAGGAAGAAGAAGACGATGAGGAACATGAAGCACTTGTCCTCCATTGCCAACGATGTCGTTCAAAGATGTTCACAGTACGTATTTGCTCCTCTCCCTTTCATATCTCTATCTCTCTTGAAGATCTAAGTATGTTTTAATGTATAGAATGTGTAATTAAGATTTTAGTGTAAGTACAGTTTTATGGGATGTGGTAAGCCAAAAGAATAGCCAAAACCGGTTAAAACTGATTCTAGCCGGTTTTAATTTGTGAATTTTAATTGTAATGATTGATATATGTGATGTTGTAGGGAACTAGAGACAACCATTGATGAATTGGTGGATGAGTTTGAGTTTCAATGGAAGCCATCAGGAAGTAAGGAAGGTACTTACTCGAAGAAGTTTGTGGAGTTTTGCAACTCAAAAGTTACGAGTCGGGTTTGTGAGAACATAGTGGAGAGGATAAAAGATGGTTCTTTCAGCCGTCTCACGTTCGATATGATGCTTGCCTGGCAAAAACCTGACGCAGATGACAATGAGTCTTATAGGGTATGTACTTACTTCATTGAAACTTTATATATATGATCACTTAATTTTCTCAAGTCGTTTAAGCATGTTTCTTACTTGTGTTCAAAGGAAGCAGTAGGTAAAGAGAGTGAAGACAAGAGGATTCAAGCAACTCTATCACCAGAGCAAGATGACATCTCTCTTTTTTATTCAGACATGATGCCGCTTCTTGTAAGCAAACTTTTGTTGTTTTTCGAGGTGTGACACCGATTTCATCACTAATCATATATATACCTAAACTTGTATTATCTTATGTGACTTAATTAGGTTGATCATGAACCAAGTGTGGGTGAAGATGCATTTGTCTATTTAGGCTCACTAATTCCTCTCCCTGTGGATGTCATCAACGGAAGATACACATTTGAGACTCTAACTGCTCCTACCGGCCACCAACTTCACTTTCCGGCTTACGATATGTTTGTCAAAGAGATACACAAGTAATTGTCCTTGCATATAGCATACTTGGTTTCTAAGCTTAATATAAATGATGTCTTTGGTTCTTGCTAACTGATTTATATATTTTCGTATGATCAAGGTGCATGAAGCATTTGCAAAAGCAAGCGAAGCCTAAAGGGATCGAATTAGCCGATGATGAAATTATATTGCATGTTGAAGGAACAATGGCGTCACAGAGAGTGATTCGACACATTAAAGAAACAAGCTGGCCAGGTTTGGTTTCACTATTGTTATAAGAAATAATATTATGTCCTTTTGTTATGCATAATGTGTCAAGTTTTATTCATAGTCGTGGACTCATGGCTACTAATTTCTCATACATCAGAATGTCTTGAATTTTGTAGGTAGGCTTACTTTGACAAACTATGCACTATACTTTGAAGCCGCAGGAATTATAAACTATGAAGATGCTATTAAGATAGATCTTTCCAAGGACAGTGAAACGTCTACAAAGCCTATGTCCACTGGTCCATTGGGTGCCCCTCTTTTTGACAAGGCCATTGTCTACGAGTCTTCGGAATTGTAAGAGTTTATGCATAATGAAGGGTGATGCTCATTGCTTGACTAATGCTAACTTAAATTATTTCTTCAGCAGTTTTACTTAGAATTCTCAAAGGGAACTATCAGACCTAACATGAAAATTAATATTTTAAACCTCTCATTTCGCCATAGTGAGTAGCAAGTTTTCCTCGACTTTATGGCATTTATTGAATATGCTCCCATGGGGACTGTATATTATGAATGATTTGCTTACCGTACATATTTCCTGAATTTGGATTCAATTTTGCTTGCTAGAACACAAAATTTACAAAACATTTTGCCTCATTTTTGTATATATTATTTTGATGCATGTTTTAGCGAGGATGGAATTGTCATAGAGTTTCCAGAGATGACAAGCTCAACGAGACGAGATCATTGGCTTATGCTTGTAAAGGAAATATCATTGATGCACAAGTTCTTGAGGAAATTCAATGTTGAATCTCCCTTGCAAGCATGGGAAATCCATTCAAGAACAATCTTGGGAATAATACGGTTGCACGCAGCCCGCGAAATGCTGAGAATTTCTCCCCCGGATCCAAAAAAGTTTTTAATATTTAGCTTATTTGAGGAAGTTCCAAAGGGAGACTATGTACTAGAAGAGCTCGCAGGGATTAGTCGAAAGGTAGGCACTACTGGAACCCCGTGTTGTGCTAGTTCCATATTGAAGAATATGAACATGGATCAGCTTGGTAACATGTTGAAAGAAGAGGGAGAAGATACATGCAAGGAGAAGGTGGAAGTGACTGATAAAGGAGAAATGCTTGCATCTCTTGAGAATAAAGTGAATCAATCGAGAGAAGAGGGAAAGGTGATTGAGAAGGCTAAAGCCACGACAGCGGAGCTCGAAGAAGAAGGGATTAGTGAAAGTGTAGCGGTTCTTATGGTAAGAAGATTTTAATGATGTGTTGGCCTAGTGGTAGGGTGAACTTTAGGTAAAACTAAAATAATCGGATACTCCTAGTTCAGTTCTACTTTATGCATGGATAAAACCCAATTTCTTGGATCACCTAGAAATTCAATATATGTGATCAAATGCTATTTAGTCAAATTCTTAGGCAAGCTAGATATTTGGTGACAAGAAGAGCTAATTGCTTATTCAATTAATGGTGTATCAAACTGACAATGATGAGGCATCTTGCAGGAGTTGATGAGGCCATTGCAAGACGCATTACCATGGTTCCAACAGGTGCTTTATTGGGAAAGGCCGTCTCAGACACTGTTCATTCTAGCCATTACTATTATAACTGTCTACAAGTGAGTTTGAAAGTAACTTATATTCAACTTGAGTAATTAAGTTTATGGTATATATATAATTGAGAAACTGAATATTTCTGTCACAGGGAGTGGATCGGTAAGGCTATAGCTGCTTGCTTAATAGGGGTGGTGGTTAAAATGGCTCAGGCTAGACAAAAGATTGTCCACAAAAAAAGTGAGGATGCGGTAACAGTGAGCACGGAATCTGACCAAACAATGACCGAGAGTATTGTGTCGGCTCAGTATGGCTTAATAAGACTTCACCAGTTGATGCAACATGTTAACGTCACCATCATGAAGTTGAGGTCCATATATACCTCCAAGGCTAGCAAAGTAAGCTAATATATACTTAATTACTATATCACTATTTCTCGCAAAAATTGTTTCGAAAGTGCATGTTTGCTTGTTTAAAATGTGTTCTCTTTTACACTATTGGCCGTAGCACGCAAGCATGGTGATGGCATCGATGTTAGTGTTGGCAAGCTTCTTCGCGGTGGTGCCGTTCAAGTTGTTCATAATATTTGGTACAATATATTGCTTCGTAATGACATCAAGTGTGGGGAGATACATGAGCAACGATCAGAGTAACCGGAGAATGAAAGAGTGGTGGGATTCCATACCCATTGTTCCCGTTCGTGTACTTAACTCTTCGTCCAAGTAGTTTCTTCACTTAGTGGTGAGATGATACTAAGTTTAGGTTACATCATCAAAAGCTAATAGAGAAATAAATGTTTTTTAAACAGTTTTGTTATGTAAAATATTTCAATTATATACGTGCGTTACTACTATTATGATAATGAATAAAGCATTGTATTCATATATTTATTTCTTTCTTATTATATACTAGCTGTTGCATTCCAAATTACTCGTCAATAGTTTTTATATTCGCCTGCTTTGATAACTGTGAAAAAGCTATTAATCGAGTCTTCACTGGTTGAAACCTAATCATGTACTAGATAGAGATATCTCAACTTAAATTATCTTTGACAAAATCGCTTTTGTTTTTTCTTTTGTAGTCAAACATTAATCCAGATTACTTAGTATGGAATGAAATTAATTTGTGTTTTTGACTATTGTTTCATTGGTATTAATTGTTGAGTTTGACCCATCATAGGACTCTTATGTAAGGAGCAAATCAAGAACATCAAAAAAGGATCTATAAACCAACCTCAGGGAGAGAAAAAAACAGAGAAGCTAAAGTAAGATCATCTACGAAAAAAATGAATAGCAATAAATCTTCACATGCTTATGGAACAACATATTTTCTTCTGATATCAACCATTTTCATGCTTTTCATCTCACGTAAGTGATCATCTTATTTTACAAATTGCATGATTTTTGTGATAGTGATCTTCGAATATGTATGTTTGCTTTTATAATCAATGAACAGAAGAAGCAAGTTCGTACCAAATGCTCGTATGTCTAGATCTGAATATATCATGTGCGGAGTGCAAAAAACAGTGCGACGAGACAAGTTATGGAGGAATATGTTTAAATGAAGGTCTCAAAGATGAAATTTGTTGTTGCAAAAAAAGTCCTCCCCCTTCATATTATGATCCTCAGCCTCCTTCTTCATGATATCTTATCATATTCTCTATAATATATGTTCCTATAATTGGTAATAACATATTAGAAATATCTAAAGTTATAACTTCTATATCAGTGTTAATACTTTTAAAAGAGGGACACAATCAACAAAATAAAGGTATTTCCATCATATTTCTTTTATTTGGTGATCTCGTATTTAATATAGTCAAATCGTATAAAAAAAAATTCTAAACATGCGTCAAATTAATAAGATTAATGCTAAAACTTTACGGTTAAATCTCTTGGTTTTAAGTTTGATTTGAAAGAATTTTTACAGTGAATCATTAACAAATTATCAACTTTAATAATATCATCCAAAATTATCAAAATCTATATAAACTCATTGAAACTTAATTAAAATAGAAGGTTAAATATAACCCAAGATTATGTTTGTCATTGTCCCGTCTCTAGGGTAAGCAAGATAGGTAGTTTCCATAGGTATATGAAAGTCAATTACAAGAAAAAGATTAGCGTCAAAAGCCAAGGGCCCTTCCATGTAATGAGACTGCCTCGTCGGGATGGTAAGATTTTGTCTTAGTATTGTAATATGATATATGTCTAGACCACCTGTTGCTCCCAGTTGTTGAGGTGTTCTAAGACTCGTATCTCCATTAGCTAGCTGCCTAACTAGGCATGTCCAGCTATGCCTTTGAATTTGATTACGGGTTAAACGAGTTCAATATTTTGGTCAATTGGGGTTTTATTCCTTTGATTTTATTAAAATGTTTGTTTCTGTTTCAAAGTCTTAAACTTTTCGACTTTTCGATGTAAAAACGCTATTTTGTTTTGAATATAATTTAATATTTTTTAAAAAGTTGTTGAGAGCATATCCAACATTTGTGAGTGCTTTAACCATTTTTGGAAATCATAATCAAAGGAAAAGATAAGTTAAATGGTAACGGAAAAAATAGTTATTAATCATCGAAACCAAACAAAAGAAAATAATCTTTTTGACACAAATATCATCATTTTATTATCATTTAGATCAAAACTCAAAAAAATCAGAATTCAAAAAAACATCTGTTCTTAACATTTTGACAAAAATATCATCATTTTCTTAACATTTTGACACAAACATTCAGTTACATTTTCTTAACTAGAAAATGGTGAAAGACTACTCCCACGAACTCTAGTAGAACATCTGTTCCATACTTTATTGGTTTTTAAAAAACCCTTTAGAACTATGACGTTTGAAACCATAGATTTGAAAAAAGAATTTGGCAAACTCCATGAGACATCCCTGTTCAGCTTTCACTATCCTTACACAACACTTCTATAGCCAAAGTTCGATAAGAAAGTGATACCAAAACTATGATAACAGAAAATATCATGAAAATGGTTTTGTTCTTTATTTATAAGTATTTTGTTTATAATTATAATATGATTATGCATACATCAGCGAGGAACATAAACATTAATCAAAGTTTGAGAGGGGAAGGAGCGGCGCCGGGAGTTGGAGATTGACAGAACCCACGGAGGACGTTGGTTTCCTCAGATGTAAAGCCAAGAGAAGTAAGCATCGCAGGCCAACAGTCGTTGGTAATGACGTCAACGGCGTTGCAGCAACCAGCAGGGGCGGACCTAGGTGATGGATGGTGATGGCACTTGCCCCCAGTAACGTATAAATTAAAGAATTTTTAGTAGTGAACAATAATGTTGTAATGGCAAAGTGGTTAAGACAGTATTCATTAATAGCTACATTTTGCACCCACTAAAATATTATGCTGGATCCGCCCCTGGCAACCATGGCCGAGTTTGGTCTCACCGTTGAGGAAGAAGAGAACGATCTCGTTAGTGCATGATTTCAGCTCGTACAGTGCATCCCAACACTGCATCAACCCTCCTCCGGTTCTTGATTTGGTGTAAACATTGTACCGCCGGTTTGGATTTCTGAACCATTTTAATTATATAAGTTGTTACCCCCAAAACAAAAAATGAAAACTGAATTTGCACTTTATTTCGTGTATCTAAACCAAATAATAAACAAATACTACTAAAATAAAAATAAATATATATATATATATATATAATATGAACTAAATTCTTTAAATTGATTGAGTGTGGGCAATATGTAGTGCATTTATGAAAAGAAATCACCCATCATTTAAAATTTCAACAATTCTAAAAAAACATTTGTCCATAGAAACTAAAATATTTTAAAATTTCAACAATTCTTTAAATTACATCCACAAATCATTTAATTCCCCACCTTAAAAAAAAGAGTATAATTACTTGTTTCCCCAACTAAAATTCCATTATTGGTGGTAATACTGTTTAGACCATCTTTAATTTATGTCCCCCACCCCTATCAATTCATACATAAAACAGAACCGAATCAATCATTTTTTTTTTCTTCTTCTTATCAATCATTCACAGAAGCAAAGAGAGAAGAGAAGAGAAGAAACAAATATGGCAGATGAACATAAAGCATTTGGTTGGGCGGCCAAGGACGAATCAGGCTTCCTCTCTCCATTTCATTTCTCTAGAAGGTTCCTTTCCTTTTTACTCTTTTTGAGTTTTGACACACTTTGTCTCTGATCATTCTCTATAGATTCACAACTTTTGTATTGCAGAGAAAATGGTGAGGACGACGTAACAGTGAAGATCTTGTTCTGTGGTGTTTGCCACTCCGATCTCCATACCATCAAGAACCACTGGGGATTCTCCCGTTACCCTATTGTTCCCGGGTACTATACCAACCTTTTTAGTATGCATGGTCTCAAAATATATATTTACCTTTGTAGGAGATCTTGGTGAATTGCAAATCAAGAAAATTATTGTGGAGATTTTATTACCTTTTACAGAATAAGATATGTTTAGGCTTTTAGATTTTAAACTTGGTATAGTAAAAATTAATAAATACATATATAATAGAATATACTAAAATTATATACAATTTTGAATCTTTACATTCATCCCCAAAAAAATGTGGAAAAAGTATGTATATTGGCAATCTTACAATTAGGGTTTACCAGTTTTGACAAGTTAGATTATTATTATTTTAATCTTTTTAACAACTAATTTACGTAGGCTAATATATCTTGTTAATTTGATAGGCATGAAATCGTTGGGATCGCAACAAAAGTTGGTAAGAACGTGACAAAGTTCAAAGAAGGAGACCGAGTTGGAGTAGGTGTAATAATCAGTTCATGCCAATCATGTGATTCATGTAACCAAGACTTAGAAAACTACTGTTCTAAAATGGTTTTCACATACAACTCTCGTTCCTCTGACGGAACAAGAAACCAAGGAGGTTACTCCGACGTGATTGTCGTCGATCACCGCTTTGTGCTACGCTTTCCCGATGGTTTACCAAGCGATGCAGGCGCGCCGCTGCTCTGTGCTGGGATCACTGTGTATAGTCCAATGAAGTATTATGGTATGGCTGAAGAGTCAGGGAAACATTTAGGTGTGAGTGGACTTGGTGGACTTGGTCATCTCGCTGTGAAGATTGGTAAAGCCTTTGGTTTAAGAGTTACTGTGATTAGTAGGTCACCGGAGAAAGAGAGAGAAGCAATTGATCGACTCGGTGCTGATTCGTTTCTCGTCACAACGGATTCTCAAAAGATGAAGGATGCTGTTGGAACTATGGATTTTATCATCGATACTGTGTCGGCAGAACATTCTCTGTTACCGTTGTTTGGTTTGCTTAATGTGAATGGAAAGCTTGTGATTCTAGGCTTTCCAGAGAAGCCACTCGAGCTACCAATCTTCCCTCTAGTTAGCGGTAAAGAAAAAGATGATGACCCTTTAGGTTTATATTTTGCGTGTTGTCGAAGTAACTGTTATGTTTTTTTGGTGTCTTTGTTACAGGAAGGAAAATGGTGGGAGGAAGTCAGATTGGAGGGATGAAGGAGACGCAAGAGATGCTTGAGTTCTGTGCTAAGCATAATATAGTTTCGGATATTGAGCTCATAAAGATGGATGATATCAACTCTGCAATGGAACGCTTGGCTAGATCTGATGTCAGGTATCGATTCGTGATCGATGTGGCCAACTCCTTGAATCCAGCTTGATACATAAGCTGATACTGAAAGGAACATGCGACCATTGGCATGGAGTCAATATCATGTTTTCTTAAGACTTTTATTTGGATTTTATTAAGAATCTGCTACTTGCTTCACAAGTTACTTGTTTAAGAAACTTTCTCTGTTCTTACTATGCTCTGTTTCTTGACAAACCTTGTTTTGTTCTAAAATATATCAGTTTGATGGTTCTTTGTCCTGGTTTTAGTCACACGTGCATATCCAAAGGAGATGCCATTATAACATATTAAAAACTATATATTATAACTGTTATTGGAGTTTGCATACATCAAAGTTTTACAGAGGAAGGCGCCGGAGAAGAACCACCGGAATTTGGAGACTGACAGAAGCCACGAAGAACGTTGGTTTCATCAGAGGTGAAGCCAAGAGAAGTTAGCATCGCTTGCCAACAATTGTTGGTGATGACTTCGACGCCGTGACAGCAATCAACGCCGAGTTTGGTCTCACCGTTGAGGAAGAAGAGAACGATCTCGTTAGTGCATGATTTGAGCTCGTACAGTGCGTCCCAACACTCCATTAATCCTCCTCCATTGAGCCTTGCCGCTATGTTGTTGGAATCCGCCGTCGTCTCCGGGGGTGTTCTAGAGGAGATGTCGTGAACAAGGAGGAGAGCGACGATAACGAAGAGGTAACTTGTGTTAGAAGCCATAATTCTGATTTTGAGTTTTGGTGTGGTGTGGTGTGATGTGATGGTTGAGTTATAAGACTTCTGATTTTATAGTGTTTTAAGAGTAAATGGGTGAATTAGTGGGAGGAATGTGAAAGGATTGACGTTAAATGTTTTACTTAATCATGGAACGTTAAAGCATTTGATAGTGGAAACGTAATTAACATTGGCTTGTGGAATGTGTAACGGTTCTACTCGAAACGATCATTTACATTGTGTTACTACAGAAGGTGAACATTTGCTTTCTTTAATACAATGAACTTTATGCAATCATTCTAAAACAGAGATTATAAAGATAGACTAAACAAGCATAAAGTATATTGGACAAGATAATAATTCTCTTCGAGGTTGTTTCTTTGTTTATTGTAGTCTGTTTCTACTTAGTTTGGATTCTTGTATAAGCATATTTGGGTTCTGTAGTGCCTGATTGCGATCACTTTGCACAAGAACATAAATCCAAACATTCACAAAAAACCTTTACCAATTTAACATAGCTAACTAATGGCATGTGTTCTTCATATATATCCTCTGTTTCTTGTGTTCTGTTTCGAGTCTTACTTGTTCAATATCTCATATCTGACAGTAATTACTCATTTTCACCAGTTGACATAATCATTTGCAGAGGAATATGAATTCCAAAAGAAAGAAATTGCAAACAGCTAACAGTGAGACCAAAACTATGATTACAAAACTATGTTTTGGCTATGAGACCAAAACTATGTTTTGTCAGTGCAACTTCTTCCTAAGCAAACAAAAACACAGCAGTGTGTGTAGGAGTCAATCATCAACTCAAGATTAAGTGACAAAACAAAGCTGATAAATCATTCTCTTCTATAGCCAAAGTTCGATAAGAAAGTGATACCAAAACTATGATAACAGAAAATATCATGAAAATGGTTTTGTTCTTTATTTATAAGTATTTTGTTTATAATTATAATATGATTATGCATACATCAGCGAGGAACATAAACATTAATCAAAGTTTGAGAGGGGAAGGAGCGGCGCCGGGAGTTGGAGATTGACAGAACCCACGGAGGACGTTGGTTTCCTCAGATGTAAAGCCAAGAGAAGTAAGCATCGCAGGCCAACAGTCGTTGGTAATGACGTCAACGGCGTTGCAGCAACCAGGGCCGAGTTTGGTCTCCCCGTTGAGGAAGAAGAGAACGATCTCGTTAGTGCATGATTTCAGCTCGTACAGTGCATCCCAACACTGCATGAGACCACCTCCGGTAAGCCTGGCCGCAATGCTGGTGGAACCTGCTGCCATCTCCGCTGGGACTGGGAGTGACCTGCCGAAGACGTTGAGGATGAGGAGGAGGAGAGTGACAGTGACGAAGAGGAAACTTGTGGTAGAAGCCATTGTTGGTTTTTTATATAAATTATGTGTTGTGTTTGTGGAATGATGATGGGATCTTGCTAAGAGTTGTTGCTATTTATACTAGTGAATGGAGTTTGAGATTAAATGTGGGTTTTAGTGGGGGAAGTGGGTGAGACTTGTTATTAATCTTCTTAAATCATGAAACTTAACGAGGCTATGTAACGGTCCTGATGGAATGATACAAGCGAAAGGGCTAATTACATACTAGATAATTACAAAATTTAAGAAGTAATTACCACTAAAGTGGCTGTAGTTTAGTGGTTAGAATTCCACGTTGTGGCCGTGGAGACCTGGGCTCGAATCCCAGCAGCCACACTTTTTTCATTTTTCGTAAGTTTTTTTTTTTTTTTTTGACTTGGTTTCAAAATTATTGCGAGACTCCATCTAAGTTATTAGCTAAGCAAAGCTCTCTACTTTGACATGCCATCATGCATGGGAGATTGTGCTTTGCGCTTCGTGTGACTGTTCTTTTGTATACATTCCTCAAAAGAGTTGCTTGGAAAACAAGATTTTCATTATTTTGGTTTGGTCGATTCTTCTTGTTTTCGATTTGACTCTCTTGAGAGTTAAGAGTCAATCCGTTTGTGTCCAAAGACGGATCAGTATTGGAGAAGAGATGTGTCGTCTCGACTGTTTAAATTTTAACGATAGAGGAGGACATGTGATGATGATAATGATGGTGATGTGTGATCTTTTGGTGGTGGGTAATGTGTAGACATAATAAAGAGCTCTGGTGTAGTTTTTACGTGTTTACTTACGTTTTCTTTCGTTGTAACTCTTTTTCTTCATTACTTCTTTTTATTTTAATGTAATAAATAAATTTAAGTAAGTGTTTTTCTTTTCTTTTCATTTCTTAGTGTGTAACCAGTTATGGCCTTTCCGTAAATGATAATCAAATTAACCATATTGATTAAGTTAATCTAAAAATAGATTAACTTTGATTTTAAGTTATCTCCATCATGTTGTATTGGTGTTTTACTTGATTAAAAGTTAATTACTATAGTACCTAGTACTATTATTACATTAGCTTTGGAGTTTCAGTTCCATATACAATTTATAATACGTTTGGTTATAAATCATTTCAACTTACAAAGCAACATCCATAGTAACATTAGTATATGGTGCAAACATAACCTTTTGTTGTTGTTGTCGTCGTCGTATGTTGTAAACTTGTTTGCAGAATCCTTCATTTGTGATCATACGTTCTCAGACTCTTAAATCTAACATCTAGATGTTGTTGTTAGTTAGATTCGTTTTGTCTTGGTGGGATTTGTAACCAAGATTGAGAATATATACACATTCGTTCTCAAAATATTTGCCTGAAGACTAAAAAAAAGGAAAACACAAATATCCCACAAAATAATGTACATCAACGAATAATATTTCAACACGTGGAGTAGCTTATGTGGAATGGGCTTACGTGGAAATGGAACCCCACCACCAATATCGTGTAATAGAAGTCAAACACATGCATCTCTCTTATAAATAAAGTAAACCTCATCGAAGAAGTAACATAGTAAAGCTTTAATAGCCGTTGGATCAATCCGACAAAACTTCATCCGAGGAACTACAAAACTCTCCGACGGATCATATTCCAGATACACGATACACACTGTCACACCAGAGTATGCCCTTCTCTTTAGTTAAAAAAAATTAAAAATCAGAAGACACGTTCTTCTTCTTACGAAACCGACTTTGTAGTTTCTTATTTTTTTCCATTACACAAATACGGAAAAAACGACAAGACAAAAACAAAAATAAAAAAGCTTTATATATTTATTTATAAATAGAGATTGTTTAACTTCTTGTTTTTTTTCGTTTTCTTACAGATTAATTAAATCACATGAACGATCTAATGGGAGAAACAAGATTCTCTAGCGAATCATCATCATCGGCGACGACAGAGATCGTGTTCTCTGAGACGGAGATGGCGGCGGCGGAACAGCTTATGCAGCTAAGCGAAGAAGAAACGGTGAGCTGTAGCAGCAGCACGGGCGGAGATTTTGGCGGCGGCGGAAGAGATAAGACGAAGCATGATCATCAAGATGTAAGCTCGAGGATCGGGAACGAGCGAAACGACGGCGTACGGGTGGATTGTAACCTTGGCGTGGAGAGGAAGAGGAAGATGAAGAAGGTGATGAAGGAGAAGAAGTTTCGATCTCTCGAGAGTATTTACAGAGCCACGAAAGAGATTAGGGGTTAATTAATCGTAGAAACGGATCGGTGATGGTTTTAATTATCCTTTGTTAATCGTTGTTTTAATTAGTAACCTTGTGTATATGGTTGTTTTAGTCCTCTTAATCTAACCTTGGAGCTTGAGAATCTGTGATAATAGTTTTGGTTCTCGTTTGAGAGACGTCATGCTGTCCTTTTTTTTTTTTTTTGTTGCAAAATTTTTAGAATTTTACTTTGCTTTTGATGAAAAGAAGTGTCGTTATTGTTGGTAGTACATTCAATTTTTTTGTTTTCCTAATTTTAATATTTTTTTGTTTACGTACGTGCAAATGATTTCGTTTTGAAATTTTAAATTTTGAGTTCTATGATGATGTGCCAACTGATATCGTTTTTTTACCTTTTTCAAAAGTTTTAAATGTTCTACGACAAACTGTAGATACACAAAATATATTTTTGGTAATACTGTATATATATTTTTAACTTATTGCAACACAAGTTAAAGCATTCTTTATGTTCAACTAAGGCCTGCTCAGTTATGTTCAACATCGTCAAGTTTTTCTGCTAAGCAAATATCGTCAAGTTAAGCCTGTTTAAAAAATATATATATATATCCTCAAGTAATTGAGACAGCTTCATCTTCTTATCTTGGACTTCTCTAATTCTTGTAGCTCGAAGCATGTATGTATGTATCAAGGTCTTTTTGTTATCCGTTTGATAAAGCATGTAAAGAGAGAGGTCGAGAGTGAGTGAGATTCTAAACATTCGGTTGATCGAAGGGATCTTGTCATCTTGATTGGTGTGAGGTTGGAACTCTCAGTTTTGCGCTGTTTTGTAGATTTGTATCATTTGATATGGTTATGAAAGTTTTAAGTTGAGCTAAAAAGGTGATCTAGCTTGAAGCCGTATATCTTAAGCTCTTGAACATCACACTTTCTTTTGTTTGTTTTAAATGATTTTAGACTAATGACGATTCTATAAAATGTCTTGTGCATGGAAAGCATCATTCATCTATTTCTAGTTTTGTTTCTAACCAACGTTCCGTGGTATTGTGTGAATTGTGATGGCCACTGTTTACATCATTGCTAGTCTCATGCTCTAATGGTGTTGGCATGTTAATGTGCTTTTTTTTGAATGGATTGTAAAATTTATTCTAACCCAAAAAACCGTTTTACAATGATATTTATAATCGAAATAGTTTATGAGATTAAAGAGCAGAAGAAACTATGGAGCACAAGTGGCAAACATAGTTAATATGCTTGTTTTGAGTCTTGACATTATCCATAATTAATTTGTTTTCTCCATCAATCAATATATCGTCGCTAAGATTTGCTTAAGAAATCATTAATAATGTGTGTCCTAAAGGCAACTTTAATGGTAGTATATAAAGGGTACAAGATGTTTTGTGAAGGGTATCTTTTCCTAAGATACCCCTTAAATACTACCATTAAGATTGGTCTAAGTCCCAATACTCTCTTTTAGTCTCTTCCACGAGAAAATCCTTTACAGTTGTGTTTGTCATTGCTCTTATCAATTAAAGTAATATCAAAAGTCAAAACAATAACAACATAGTTAGAGCAAGTGCATTGGTGTCCTACATAATTTGGTCCCATGGTTAAAATATAATTATTTTGATCATGGGACAACTGTATTTTTTTTTATATATGAATATTAGTGTCCCATGTTTCTGATCCCATAATTAAAATAATAATATTTTGAGTTTTTAAAATTAATAATTTTAATTAATAAGTAAAAGCATATTAAAGCTTGGATTAATATAAAACATATTACATTAAAATTATAAAGTTACAAAAAATTGAAAAATTAAAAAACATACAATTAAGATATTAAAAATATAAAACATAAAGCATATAGAGATAAAACAAACATTTTATTCAATTCATAGAAATTTTAAAATTAATCTATATTATTCGAAATATGTCCAAAATTAGTCAAAATATGCTCAATCCAATCATCTTTTAATTGTTCATGAGCTTTTTTTATCCCGAAATCTTGTTCGACGAGAAATCGTAATGCCGATATTTGAACCCACACCGGCGGTACCAACAGTATATGCTGTCATAATATTTGCTATTTTGTTTTTATCCTACAAAAGGAAGTGAACTTTTCATTAAAAAAATTTGCCTTATAAAAGATATTCACTTATGATGACAAAAAAAAAGAAAAAAAAAATGTTTTTCACGTGGACCAATCACCTTCTCCCACATAGCACGAAGGACAATGATAAATCGACCCAAAAGAAAGAACGTTTCTTGGTTTATTATGTCAAAGTGATTTAAATTTTAATAAATTAGCTGTGGGACGAAGCAAAGATACAGCGATGCTGATGGCCTTAAGCATCTTCTTGTTCAATATTGTAATACATGAAATTGAGTTTATATCTTTGAAGTGTTAACTTCATATGTTTTAATCATTTAGATGCCTTAATTGTAATTTGGCTCTATTTTTTTTCTCAAAAAGTTGATGATGATGTTATTAAACTGATGCATAAACTAAAGGGTTGGATTGAATGAAGAGTGCCTAGCTAGTGAATGATGGGTGGTGCAATGTGGACTGGACAAGATGGAGAATCAACCAAAAGATCGTAATGAAGAAGTAGAGATTAATGATTTGAGAGATTTCTTCTAGTCTGATCTCTAGAATGATTCCTAGTTGATAGAGTGGAAGGTTTTTGTAGAACTCTGTGTGCTGTTTTTGAATCACGAGAAAGATTTTAAATGCAGTTGATATTTTCTTCTACTTAAAAAAAAAAGAGATTAGAGAAAAAAGTATTAACTCTCATATAATTGTTAATATGGTTATGTAATGGTTCTTCCATGTTTAGATGTTAATTTCGCATTTTGAATTTTATTGTTCAAGATAGATTAGCAGTAGGTATGATTGGTGGAGTTTTACGAATAACAAAATATAATATTAATTTATTTAAAAGTTCAAAAATACATAAATCATATTCGAAATATTTATACAATTTTTGTACAAACTTTTAAAAGGTGGTCGACTTTGAAACTCGTATTCAATTGGGAAAATTCTTTTTGGCATGAATGTTAGATTTTGTAATGTCTAAACAAGAAAAATTCATAGATTAATTCTCAATAATCTGATTAATCTCATAAAAATAAAAAGAGCTGGGTCCCATTCGTAGGCACATTAACTTAATGGGCCTGGTCCACATTAAAAATTTGAAGTAATTCACCCGCCACATGAAAAGGCCCAATGGTTCCCTTGCCTCCTTCTCTTACAAGCTGGCGGGAAAATCCCAAATCTTTTCCCGGGAAAGCGGATAAAAATTTCGGCCATTAAAGGACAAAATCACAAGAAAGTAGAAACCCTAGAAGAATTTTGAAACCGATACAAACCCTTTTAACGCCTCCTTCTTATCTCTTTATAAAAACCATTTCTTTCCTGCAACTGCGTTTGCTTATCATCAGACACCCATCAACTGTTCGACAATATTCCTCTGAGAGTGATTTGTTTCCTCTGACAAAAGAAACCATGTATGTGGTGAAGCGTGACGGAAGGCAGGAAACTGTTCATTTCGATAAGATTACTGCTCGCCTTAAGAAGCTTAGCTATGGCCTTAGCAGTGACCATTGTGACCCTGTCCTCGTTGCTCAGAAGGTCTGTGCTGGTGTCTACAAGGGAGTCACCACGAGTCAACTCGATGAGTTGGCCGCTGAGACTGCTGCTGCTATGACCTGTAACCATCCTGATTATGCATCTGTGAGTATTCATTCTCTTCCATTTGCTTTCTGGGTATTCCTTGATTTTGATTAAGTCGTTCTCTTTGATTGAATTGGTGTTTCATTTCATTGAATTGAACTGACTGACTTCTCAATTGCGATGTTTGGAACTATTCACTGTACTATTAGGTACTTCGAACATGATCTGTACGATTTACATGGTTTCTGTGTTTGTTTGTCAGCTTGCTGCTAGGATTGCTGTCTCAAATCTACACAAGAACACTAAGAAATCGTTTTCTGAGACGTGAGTGTTATCAAAAACTCTTTTTTAGTGGGTATATATAATTGATTTGAGTTTAAGTTTCATATGAGTTGACTTGGATCTATTGTGTGGGATTTTGCAGGATTAAGGACATGTTCAATCATGTCAATGACAGATCTGGACTGAAGTCCCCACTAATAGCTGATGATGTATTTGACATAATTATGCAGGTAAAGAAAGCTTGTATTAGGCTCTCAATTTCAATTTGTTTCTTGGTGTGATATATATGTATCTTGTAGATCACTGATTTGTGTTTTCTTTCGGTTTCTTCAGAACGCTGCACGTCTGGACAGTGAAATAATCTATGATCGTGATTTTGAATATGATTTCTTCGGATTTAAAACTCTTGAGAGATCATACCTCTTAAAAGTCCAAGGGAAAGTTGTTGAGAGGCCTCAACACATGCTGATGAGGGTAGCTGTTGGCATTCACAAGGATGATATTGATTCCGCAATCCAGACATACCATTTGATGTCTCAGAGATGGTTTACTCATGCGTCTCCTACTCTTTTCAACGCTGGAACACCAAGGCCTCAAGTAAGTTACCTGTAGATTGATATTTTATTATTATATCTATATATAAGTGGGTATACTTTGAAATATGATTTTTCTGATCTGCTATTAAAAAAATTGACTTGGCAGCTAAGCAGCTGCTTTCTGGTGTGCATGAAAGATGATAGCATTGAAGGCATATATGAAACACTCAAAGAGTGTGCTGTTATAAGCAAATCTGCTGGCGGTATTGGTGTTTCAGTTCATAATATTCGTGCAACTGGAAGTTACATTCGTGGCACAAATGGAACATCTAACGGTATTGTTCCAATGCTGCGTGTATTCAATGATACTGCTCGTTATGTCGACCAAGGAGGAGGCAAGAGAAAGGGTACATATCAGCATATATTTTCCTACCATTTTCTGTGCATTTGATGGTCTCTAGTGAATCTGATGTATATTTTGTAATTGGTGAAGGAGCCTTTGCTGTATACCTGGAGCCATGGCATGCTGATGTCTTTGAGTTTCTGGAGCTGCGGAAGAACCACGGGAAGGTGCAGTTACTTTTATTTCACCATGTCTTCTCCCCATATGCATATTCCAATTCAGGCTGAATCAACCTCTAATATACCTTTTTCCCATTGTAGGAAGAACACAGGGCTAGAGACTTGTTTTATGCTCTCTGGGTGCCAGATCTTTTCATGGAGAGGGTCCAGAGCAATGGGCAGTGGTCACTGTTTTGTCCAAACGAAGCTCCGGGTTTGGCAGATTGCTGGGGCACTGAATTTGAGACACTGTACACGA